ATATATCACGTGTGGATCATCCGGACATTTTGATCAAAAAGCATAGAATGTAAGTCCTTCGCTACGCTCCGGACAATTATATTTTTTTTCAGATGGAAAAATCTATGGCTTCCTACATCCCGCATTTTATTATTCCCGATTGTGATCACATTCTTTTTGAAAAAACCGCATTAGCAAATCCTCATTCCTTTTATCGAATGAACCTTATCCAAGGTCGACTTGAAATAATGCCTCTAACAGTTTTTGGCGAACCCGGTATCTAACTTGCTAATCCAGGTTTTTCGAATTGAAATGTTACTAAATTCACGAAAAAAAAATGCTAGATGAAGCAGAATCAAACATTATTGCAGACATTGTTATTTGGTGTCGCGCAAACAGAAACTTAGTTGGACACCATGGTGGTTCCCAGGTATGCTATGCGAACATCAAGTCGATAGTCCTTTTTTATGTCGCTAATATATATTTCTAGGGAGCTTATAGATTACGTGACGGTAATATTCTAGGACCCAATGCTTCTGTAGTACTTAGAACCAGGTTTTTAAACGTTATCTATTGCAATATGGTTTGTGTATTATGCACAAATACTTTTTAATTTCCCTTTTATTATTGTAGATGGGATGCTCTGTCAATTAGTGATCAACAGAAATTTCCGCGAGTTGCACCGAACTTTGTTGTCGAATTACGTTCAACGGGAAATTCACCTCAAGATGTTCATAGGAAAATGTTGTTATGGATTAATGCAGGAATATGCTGATATCGATCGCTATATATTATTTATTTTCTGTTATTAATTATTATATCCTTCTAGGAAGGAATTTCTATCGATCCTATTTCAAATCCACTTACAGTGAGGATCTATAGCTTTGATGCCAATACTAACAATGTCATTTGGCAAGAATTTATTAATCCTTAAACGGTTACTTCACGAGTTCTTCCCGGGTTTATAATGAATACGCAAGAAATTTTTCGATAAAAAAAAAAGTAATGAAACGAATGTATACAAAACTAAAAAGAGATATTCTTTTTTTAGACTTTCATCCAATAGGTAGAAAACAAGTGATTTTTTTTAAACTATAAATCAATCATAAATTGGACTTTGAGAATTATTTACCAATAAATAATCATTTTTGTGATGTGTTGATAAATTTCATGTGACGGAAAAATTGGTTACTTTTAACTATTGAGGTCGATAAACAATAAAATTTACCATAAATTTTACCAATGTTAGTACGAAATACCCGCAAGAGAGCATGTATATATGCCGTAAATCAGGCATCGCGAATTTATGACAAATGTAGAATGACACAAATATAAAGATTATGTGAATAAAGAATTTAAATATCCACAATGTGTCATTACGTCAAAACATATATACCGTAAATAGTTTCGATATATATGCGATAGAATTATTCGTTATTCTATATTTTTATTTTTTATATCAATAAATCTGGCCCTAATTCTGCATACATAATTGTGAATTTATTAATTGCATTGTTATCGATGTATATCAACTCGCATATGATCGAGAATTGTTATAAATTGGAACGGACACAATATTTTTATTTTGAATATATCCGCATCTTATATAAAACAATCGCAGATTCACAAACTACAATTGCTTCGTTAAGAGAATTAAATTCCAAGTTCGGCTCCACGTGATTTGAAAAAAGAAATAAACCTATTCTTCGGCAAGAATTTTCCCGATATCTTCATAAACTACGCTACGATCGCGAACTTGAGTTTATTGTTTGAGCTGTTGCAATATTCTATTCCATTCGCCATATAATTAGGGTCGTGGGCACAGGGGCATAGGCCAAATTTCCGGGTCGTAATGGCTGGAATGCGTCGGGGTTAGGGTCGGGTTAGCGTTAGGGTTAGTAGGAGCTATCCCTTAAACCGTCTAGCAGGCAAATTTGCCTGCTAAAATTATTTTTAAAAAGTTTTTTTGAGTTTTCTTAAAA